AAGATTATAATTTTTTTTGAAATATTCTTTTTGTAGCGGCATAAATTGCAAATTTTATATAATCACACCAGTAAACTCACCTTGCATTAAATTGATTACTTCTTCATAACGACTACCACTTTATAGGCAACTACAATACTTGTCTTGTCGTAACAAAGCGCAGCGGGTTCGTACATGTTCCATTCGGCATATATCTTACCAGCTTCTTTATACATATTAGTTTCCTAGCTTTAATATCTAATTTTGATTTGATGTAAATTATAAAATTCTTCTATATATGAAAAATTTGTCTTAAGAATTTTACTTAAAAAAAAATTTAAATAAATTCCTTTTTAACTTATTAGTTTATAAAACTCTGCATTTTTTTTTTAAAAAAAAAAAAATAAACGAAAAATCTCAACATTTCTTATTTAAAAAAAAAAATTTCATTACCAAAATTTGTTAATTTTAAAAAAATTTTGCTGTCACTATAATATTTCTACTAATACAGTCGGAACTCGATAAAACGAACTCTCAATCAAAAATGAAAAGGCAAAGAAATAAATAATCCTGATTCAATATATTATCGGGCATATCAGTTGATAATATTTAGAGACATCAATCTTTTTTCAAAGAAATAATTAAATATTCTTAAAGTATTGTCCAGCTCTCTTTCATTGGGTGATCCGAATTATTTTCATATAATATCTAAGATCAATAAATTAAGCTTTATTTGCAAATAATTGGAGGCGGAGGATTAGTGGTTTAAGAAATGTTTCATGTCACAAATCGCTCCCGTTGTTTAAGGTTATGTACTTTTGTATTAAGGAAAATGCTTTGGAATAATGATATAAAAAATTTTTTTTTTGATAACAATTCGAAAGCATTCTCTTAAACAAGACATGTTACATTGAAGATGGTATAACTTCCTCTTTGCAAACCTTTTGAACCTGTAAAAATTTTATAAAAGAAATTAAGTTAGAGGCAAGTATTGGAAGGACTAACTTAACAATAAAAATAAAAACCACTTAATGTCTACTGAGCTTCCTAAAGAAAGACATATGAAGGAAACTATCACCTGTAAGGCAAACACTTCAAAGAGGATGGATAGGCAACCCTAGGGAGCGTCCTGTATACAAGTACTAAACCGTCGCTCTTAGCTTAATGCCACCAGAAAATGCTTCTCTTTTTTAACTAAAACTTTTACTAGCCACTTCATTAAACAATAAGCAGTTCATGAAAGATCTGGAACACGACCGGACAGACAGAAATTTATGATTATTCAACCCAACTATGACCTTTTAGCACTCAACTAGATAAAAGAGTTTAACTTTTATCTTGGCAATAAATCTTCAGCAACCTCATAAAATCTTTAACGTTTAAACGTTTGGTTTTTGAAAACAAGAGATTCTTTGACATTTATTACTAAAAATATGTTCCATGGTAATCCTTCAAAATACCCCTTAGCTGACACCAACATTATCAAATGAAAAAGATATTTTTAGAACTTAGGGAAAAACCTAAACGCCTCACTTTAAATAGACATGTTAAAAAAGAAATAATAAATAAAAAGTAAATAAACAATACTTCCATAAATGTTCGTCAAACTACATGTATCCGCATTAAATACCTAGAGGTGAAAATTTGAACATTAAGGATCCAACTATCTGCCGTATTAGAATGATAAATGAAAAAAACTGATAGAATTAAAATCTTAGTATTTGTCGAACGACTAAGGAAATGGTGCTTAGGCGGTTGGGATTCATATCTTAAGAGTCAATGTATTAAAAGAACGACCTCGTAAAGATAATTTCTTATTAATACGTAATAGCATTGGGGTATAGAATGAATTTCCCGGGTATATCAAACCTGTAGGTCAAGCAATATTTCGCGAATATTGATGAACTCGTAACCAAAATGGAAAACCACTAATAATACAACAAATTCTTCGTCAATAGCGTAAGAGTTATGGATAACTGCCCTAAGAAACAAACTAGGAAATATGTGGAACGGAAGAAAATGAAAGAACCCAACTATTTCAAAGAAGTATCGCGGAGAAGGATCACCAGTTCCCTCAAATTAGTGAAATTTTCCATCCCTTTTTTTCTTCTCCACCTT